ATGTTACTACAGCAAGTAATCTGCATAAAGTTTAACAGTGTTGATAACACAGGAAAGCTGCAGAGAAACTGGAAAACCCCAGGTTGAGCACCTGAGCACCTGGTTTGGATGAAGTGCACTGAGAAACACTAACAGAGACAGCCTTAAAGGTAAACATTAGAAGCAACATTCAAAAGTTACCTGTAGGTGAGCTCCCCCAGCCTGTGTCTGCAGCTGCCCAGGGGAGTGCAGGTACCTCCAGGGTGGCGGCCTGGGCTCCTGCCACACTTGGGTCCCTCCCAGGGGTTCTTCCTCTCTCCTTCCACAGCCATGCTTAGCCCAGCCAAGGAGAAGGCCTGAGGACAGGGGCTTGGCTTCATGGGCTGGGCAAGGAGCCCGGACAAACCAGGGCAGGTCCCAGCATCCCCGCAGCCCACTGCCAGGCTGCAGTGAAAACAGGTTTCACGGGGCTGCTGCCCTCAGGTGTGTCCACCAGCATCTCTCAGGGCGGCGGGAAGTGAAGCTGGGGTAACGCACCATCATCACCTAAATATAAATGACAAAACTTGTGACAATGTAGGTTGTCTGAAAACCATAGTGAAAAGGTAAAAAGTAAGTTAACATACTGCAGGCTTATGGTACTTATTATTTTTGTTCAATTTAGTTTTGTTCTACTCCAATTTACCTTTTACATATGGATTTATTAAATAACTCATTTGCCCAGTAGAAGAACATATGTTCTTCATTTAACAGCCCTTAAGGTGTTATTTTCTTTAACTTTGTGTGCCATATTCAGAAACAGAAACAAATGTGCATAACAGTACATTTTCTACTCATTAATGATTTTGTTTCCTCAGTGTAAAGGGCCTTTAAAAAGTCTCTGACTCTCTGGCAATGCCAAGCCTGAAAACCTAGCTTTCTAAGTGAGCACCCAAAACTGAAGATTCTACCTTTAAAAGCATAGGTTCTACATCAGTATGTCTATACATCGGTATGTCATCTTTATCTTCATTTTGCAGAAATGCATTTATTCTTAACATGGCTCAATGTTATGATTTGTTTTTTTCATTCCCAGAAGCTTTGTTGATTGTTTCATCAGGAATGGTCACAACTCAGGAGAAGAGGGTTTAGGCAAGTCAATTAACATTGCTGTAGAGCAGAGCCCAGGAGAGGAATGGACATATGGCATGCAATGATGTGTAATTTGCTATTTTTTAATTTCTTAGTAAATAGAGTGGGCTAAAGGACATTCTTGGTCACATCAAGATGAAAGACCAACTATAGAGCTTTACTGATCTGGCCTCACTTAAAATTCATAGATATTTTACATGTCAAGTAACCTAACCTCTTGAAAATATACAGGAATGAGATTTTTAAAATGGGATTCCTTTCCTATACCAAATATTTGCTTTCATTATACATTCATTAGACTGTGAGAAGAGCTGGAGGGCAGAATTTGGGCTAAGTGTTTAATGTTTATTAAAAAAATCCTTTGTTAGACACAGAAACATCCTAATAGGTCATCAAATACATATCATTGCACCACTACAGCCTGACCCATGTTTATTTTCTCCTATGCATCTAATCAATTTTTATAGCTGCTTTAGAGTAGTCAATTAAGAGTTCTATTAATAGTAATGAATCCACAGCTCCAGCAGGCAGGAAATATCTGCCAGGATTTCCTTGATTTTTTTTTTATTTTTTTTTTCCACTGTGAAAAAGAGAAGTGCATTTGCAGAGAGGTGCACTCACAAACACAGGTTTTATGGGGCGCTGGCACAGGTCAGCATCCACTTTGCAGTGCGCTGCCCCTCTGGCCATTCATGGCCATGTGTAACAGGTCTTCCATGGCTCCATCTTGCCATAAGGAGTCAAAACGAAGCACACGGACACTTACTAATTCCCCCTAAGTCCTGAGTAGTGAAAACAGGATAAACTGTAGAAGCAGTCAACTCCCATTTGAAGATGTTTTTGTTTTATTTCAGGCAACAGTAAAAACAGAAGCCAGGAAGGGAACGGATACGCACAAAGCCAAATGCATGCAGGTTCATCTGAGAGCAGTCTGAGGGCCTTCCACCTTTTGACAAGCCACAGTAAAAGTGACAGTAAAAGCGTTTCCACAGCTTCCTTAGCCCATGCACCCAGTGAATAGAAGTACAGCAAAGAGCAAGCGGGGCCTATACGTGCCAGGTACCTGTAGCTGTAAAGCAGTGCAGTTGGCAGTATGGAACATTTCTTTTCCATTTTTCCATGGGTGTAAGCTCTCCTAACTTGAATTATGTTAATTCCATGCAGTGCCTTTTTAAGTCCATATGGGCAGTATTTTCTTCCAGTTATGCTTTTTTAACCAGCTAGCCAATCTCACTGTTTACATATGCCCTCTCTTCCTCACAATACTAATGAAGACAGGAAAAAAACAGGGTTTGACCTTTCTGTCTTTCTTATGCTCCCTTTCTCCTTATGAAATTGCCCCTTCTCAGGAGTTAGCAAGGAAGGCCACCCATTGATCAACAAGCTACAACAGCAACAGCAAGATAGGACATGACAGTGGTTCTGGCAGCTGGGATGAAAAATGAATCTGTCTGTCTCTAGCCGGCCAATTCAAAACCAGGTTAACAGTACCTGAAATTCATCACTATCTAATGTCTTTGTGAGATGAGACTGATGTCAGTTTAATTTAATAGGCCAGGCTGAAAAATGCAACAGTTCAATAATTGATTCATGAGTGGATTAGACATCACTGCCTCAGGAATGGCAACATCCACCCAAGGATGGAGATGATGGCTGAGGCAGTAACAGCACTAGCTGCCTCATTTTAGTCCAGCCGCCAAGTCCGCCAGACACCCCAGCCTGTACCTACACCACTGCAGAAGTGGGCAGACAGGCCCAGGACTGAACACACCTTGGAAATAAAAGCACAGCTGACACTATCCATTAGGAGAGCAAAGAGAGAAAACTGGCACTGTATATGTCTCTACTGTCTGTCCTGCTGGGAATAAGCCAAGGACTACAACGTACAGAGCTGTCAACCAGATGCTTTCTGCAAGGCCTGAAAATCACTGAATAAATAAAGGGAGAAAAGGGAGAAGAGAGTCCTTCTATCTCTTTCAAATATGTTCTCGCTGACTTTCCTCATTCCAGGTAGTTCAGTCTTCTTTACAGAAACCTGTAACAGCAGTCAGCCCTGTGCTCCTGTTTTCTCTTCCTGCTCTTTCACCCCACAGTCTCCTTTTCTTTGATAATCTGTAGCAATGCACCATCTTTTTCAAAATATTTCCTAGTTAATGCTAGGTAGCTTCCAACGACTCTGTAAGGCATTCTGTAACAGTCACACTTAGAATATGAGCACACTATCCTTGCATTGTTATAGATAACTAGCAAACCACTTCCTTACGGGAAGGGAGTAATTGGGTTTTTTAATCACCATTTTTTATTTGCAGACACTGAACTGGGATATAGTAATGTTTGCACAATACTTTTCTGGGTTTCATGCAAATTGTAAGCATAGGCACAATAAGATGTGCTGCACTTCTTCACAGTATCAACTTGAAAGATAAATTCACTTTTAGCACATATTTTAATTACATTTTAATTCTATACTAAATTCAGATTTTGCCAGAAAACAGTATTTACTCAGATAAACGGTGTGTCATTTATAGTGATCCTTAATGTGTTTAATTGGGACAGAAAAACAAAGTAACTCCAACAGCTAAAGCTCCTCACTGGACATGGGAGAGTAGCCCAGGTTAAGCGTTGTAGAGCTCTTCGTAATCTAGGAGTTAGCACAGTAAAATTCCACCTTTGGAAGTATTTTAGATTGAAAAGGGGCAGAAGCTTCCGGAATCTTACAGTACTAGTTGTTTTTAAAAAGTGCTTTTCAAGGCCTCAGTTAAACCAAATAGGGGACAAAGCCAGGAGACCTTGCGCTCACTTCCAGCAAAGCCATACTCTCATACAAACTCCAGTCCTCTTCCCAGAAAGCCCTTCCTGCTGCACTGGTTACTCCAGCACTCCTTACCGAAGAGCAGCGTGAGCACGGGTTGGGTCACAAGCAGCTGCCTTGTCCAGAGCACTGTGGAGCATCCTGTTCAAATGTCAAGGATCCCACCTTAAACTATCATCGCTATTGCCATCAAAAGAAACAAAATGGCTTTTTAAAATTTAATCTTCAGAGGACATAAACATTTCCTACACTATGAATATGAACCTAATATAAGTGGATGAGAGACAGAGAACAGAAGCAGAAGAAATTCATTAGCTTATTCTGCTTTTTATCAAAGTAAGAGAACAAAAGTAATTAACATTCCTGAAACATATAGGTCTAATATATTAAAGATAACATAAGTATAAAAATGATCCATAACCATTACGAAAAAACTTATTCTCTTTTTAAATATGCCTGGGTATTATCTCAGTTGCTTTCTCCCTGGAAACAACACTGGGATTAGACTCAAATATGGATAAAGCTTTAATATCCAGACAACCTATAAACAATAGTCACTCATTAACCCCCTGACAGTAATGAACCAGAGTGTACCACGTATGGTTTACTAAACAGAAACTTCTAAATACACAAACCCAGAACCTGTACTGGAAACACAGAAACCCCACAACAGATGTAGGTGCAAAAATTAACTAGTTTGCTTCACAAAGCAGGAGTTAGTGTTGCCCTGCCCTTTTAATTTCCGTCATACTATATTAGAGACAATTAGGACATACCTGCATGCCTGAATGAAAGGCTGTTGTATCTAGACTTGGGTTTACTGGCATAATTGAGACATGGTATTTTAAAGCCATTACTGGCTACAACTGTTACTATGATTTTTCTGACCTCAGTGCTTACATTACATCAGTGCCTTAGGCTCAAGCCAGCTCGGGTTGCAACAAGTGCTCTGTAAACCCTGAGAAAATGACAATTCCTGCTCCTGGGAGCTCACAGTGTTCAGGCTAGCTAGGCAACACCATGAGTTTTATGGCTTCTAGGCTCCAGTTATTTACTGTTCCTTTTGAACTTGCTGTGCCCGAGCACGGGGTAGGGGGGAGCGGGGGGCACTGCAAGGAACACGGGAGGAGACATTGGCTGGAGTCACACCTGACCCATTTCTCACCTCGCCCATCCGCAGTGCGGATCCTCTGATGTCTAATAGGGGGTCAGCACATCAGCCTCCCTTGGGGAAGCAGGGAAAATCTCTATCCGCCCACCTACTTTCAAGAAACTCATTCCAACTTTGGAATCTCTTCCCTGGACATAGCGACAGGTCCAAGGGTGCCAGGAGGAGATGAGCTGGCCAGCCATCTGAGACCTCCTGGATCACACCCATCCCATTTCCTTGGGAAGCCACACTAAAATGCCCTGCCTGGAAACCCTCCGAGGCTTCTTGATGTGCACAACAGAACAGGTCCCTGTTTTCCCTGAACTCAGGGAAGAAGTGCCAGGAGTTTGCTGCAAACCTAAGCATGGGGTTACGGGCTGGGGTCTAGCAACCCTCTGTGGGTGCTGATGAGATCCTCAGGAGTGAAAATCATTCAGAGAAAACAACCTCATTGCAGTCTCTGCTGGCAAGAGGCAGGCGGGTGTCAGGGCTGAGGGACTGACTGCCCGTGGGGGTGTCAGGGCTGAGGGACTGACTGCCCGTGGGGGTGTCAGGGCTGAGGGACTGACTGCCCGTGGGGGTGTCAGGGCTGAGGGACTGACTGCCCGTGGGGGTGTCAGGGCTGAGGGACTGACTGCCCGTGGGGGTGTCAGGGCTGAGGGACTGACTGCCCGTGGGGGTGTCAGGGCTGAGGGACTGACTGCCCGTGGGGGTGTCAGGGCTGAGGGACTGACTGCCCGTGGGGGTGTCAGGGCTGAGGGACTGACTGCCCGTGGGGGTGTCAGGGCTGAGGGACTGACTGCCCGTGGGGGTGTCAGGGCTGAGGGACTGACTGCCCGTGGGGGTGTCAGGGCTGAGGGACTGACTGCCCGTGGGGGTGTCAGGGCTGAGGGACTGACTGCCCGTGGGGGTGTCAGGGCTGAGGGACTGACTGCCCGTG